AGTTAGATAGAACAGGTATAATGATTGATCTCGGAGTCGCAGTGTTCGTCCAGACTGTGTGGTTCGCACTGTTGTCTCTGAGGGTCGCACTTGAACGACTTTATAAGATGCTTCTGCCTCTTCTGACACATATTCTCCAGTCTCAGCTGACTCTCGTGCTGTTTGTTGTCTGATCCCCATAGTCCAAACAATCAATGACACAACTAGAATATTCATCTTCATCCAGTGCCACGACATCATCCTCAATTCGAACATTCTCAGCTTTATGCAATATGTCACTGATTTTAATTTGGCACTGGAGTTGCGCATCAACAAAATTGAAGGGGAGGATTTGATCTTGAGTGTAGATGGGGACTGTCAGTTTCCTCGCAGATGCTTTTACGTTGTTCTTGCATTTGCCCAAAAAGAAGGGTGCTTCTGGTAGTTGAGATGGCTGGTATTTTGGTTTGATTTCTACAAATGCATCTTTACAAAACAAATTCGAAGAAGAGGGAGCGACAGGACCTTCTTCCTCAGAAGCAGATGCCATGCTAAGCAGGTTATCAAGATCTACAGGTTGTGGCTCAGAAGGCTTCGCGAAGTAGCAGTTGATCGGTAATGTACCTGGGTTATCTTTGGTACTTTTATTACGTACGGTGACCTGGCGAACACTTTGGCCGAATTCTTCGCGCAACTTTCGCATTTCCGCCAATTGTCGCCTGGTCACCTTGGAATCTTTCTCTGGTTTAGATATAGTTGGAATTGTAGAGAATGGTAGGAAATCCAGTTGCTTTTGAGTAGAATGCAGAGGAACTGGTAAAATAGTTGAAGCTGCATTTGTTATTCCTCTTCAGGTGCTATCTGAGAGTTGACGACAATCTGTGTGTGAATTGAAGAACTAGTGGCATGTCATTACCATCCCTCATTTCAAAAAACAGGTTTTCAACGATAAGAGTAGTTGGCGACGCCATGTTCAGCTTGCTTACGTACTCTGGTGAAATGTTTTCAATCGACCCGACAATGTGTTTCAACGTAGAAAGGGTGACTTCTAAGTCCCGGATAGTTTGCTGTGAGCAATGCCATCTGGTCCCTGAAGGATTCTTGTTAAATTGGTGATCTTTCTAACTTCAGAAATGTAATGAAGAAACCATTTACCTGCCCAATTACAACAATGGTCTGTTTAGCGGAGAACATCTTTGCATTGGCTCGTGGCTCATTCATTCTGTGAACACCAAAAACTCTAAGAAATTTATTAAGGTTTTCTAAGTATTTCAACAATCCGCTTGGTCGGGTAATCATTTTCAGTGTTGCAGTTGCCGACAGTGCTTGCTTCTGTGCAGCATGACGTTGTTTGAAAATGTTGCGTTAGCACCATCAGTCTGACCTCTAGTTCCTGTGCTAGATAGAACCTCAACAGTCAGCACGTTCTCTCCAAGTAACACACACTTCACTTTCTGGGCACCAACATCGGTAAACACAAGCTTGCTCGTTTTTTCAGCTGATGACAACACTGCAACTCCGTGCACCGTTTTGTATTCGGCTGTCCCATTGCTTATAAGACGATTAGGGGACTTGGCAGGATTCGTAAACTTCTGTTGTCTGTTGTCATAATCGTACGAGATGATACCACCCAAAGAACGATGCGATGACGATACACAGACATAGTTGTCAATAGCAGCAATTCCGAAAGTCTGTTTGGTGCATTCTACCTTGCCAAGAACATGCAGTTGCAGTAATAGTAACCCCATTGCTTTGGACCTTCAACTGCAAAATCTCTTGCTTAACTTCGTCGGCTACAAACAACATATCTACTTTGTTGAATGTTAGTGCTGTCGGCTTCAATGTCTCCTTATCCTGGATAATGATTGGAGCAGCATTTATATGATTCTAAACAATTATCGGATGAGGTTTTTGTGATATCCGGAAGAATCAAGGTCGAGGTAAGTGTTATCAGCCTCAGCCTTCGGCTTCGGCTGATAACATTAACCGAGACCTTGATTATTCCCGATATCACAAACACCAAATCCAATAATTGTTTTATTATACATTGTTTTAAAGAAAACGCATTATCGCAGCGAACACAGTTTATTTTCGAGCAGTTAAAAATGTACAACTGTGTGGTAAACAAATTTTCACCGTTTTTATAAAGCAATCAAGTGCAGAAAAGCTAAATGCATTTCTAAGGAAAGTATAATAGAAGAAAAACTGTCGATCTTTTCGTATTTTCCGAATTTTTATCTTCAAGTAATTTCTCAGTTTCTCGCTGGGTCAATGAAGCCAATCGAGAAGCTATTCTTACTTCGCTGTCCGTGAACTTGATATTGCTCCGCCTGAAATAATGCATTGCGTGCGCAACCTACAGATTATTTACAGATTAGTGAATAATCTGTAGGTTGCGCTGTTTCCCAGAATTAACTGTGGGCATTTAGCCAATGAGAAGACAGATGGTGACTATAATGTATAATAATGTCTGTTACTTGCAACGTCAGCGCGGCCCTAAGATCGAATCCACTTGTTCAGTTTTTTGTTACAATTTTTTTGCGAATATCCCGTATCCCTGAAACTACTTCTTAATATCCTGTATCCCAATAACTTTTTCCTCAAATATCCCGTATCCCAGTAATTTTTTCCGCGAATATCCCGTATCCCAAAAACCCCTAAGAGGGCCTCAAACCACGATAAAAAGACTACTGCTTTCTGTGCGTGTGGTTTTATGCTCGAGACGAATGCAATATAATGTATCCTATCCAATCAAGACTTTTCCCAGTAAAGTCAGCGAATATTTCTTTAAAAAAAAAACCACCCTTATTGATTTAGTCCCCTCTTTCCGCCCACAAGAAGGGCACAATTAGAGAACGGCTATCGTTATTGCGAATCCTTGAGTAAGAGCTTTTTCGTCCCTTGTCAGAGCCAAAATTATCCAAGAATCAAAGTAAAATTTACCACCGAACCCACCCGATTAATTTCGCGATTTTATGCGTCAGACCCTTCGATTTCATTTCGGTTGCTGATATTCAACTTTAATAAGAAGATCTACTAAACATTAAATCAAGTTAACTCAACATAGATATCAATGATCAGTATCAATCAAATTAGTGGCACAAGATATACTGATATTCATAGCGTCAATTTGAATTTTAGCTGTTTGCGTCGATCCTGGGAAGCCTGTTAATGGCAGCAGAATAGGGGATACCTTCCTTGATGGTCAGGCTGTGGCATTCAGTTGCAGACCGAGTCACACACTGATTGGCGCGCCAATTTTACGGTGCGTAGCTGGAAAATGGAATAAGCCTACACCTAAATGTAAAGGTAGGTCTTACAAGAGGCGTTTAGCATTATGAAGATGATTTTGTTCTTCAACTGACGTTCATTTGTTTTTTCCTTGATATCTAGGTATTCAGTATGACAAATGCGGGTCTAATATGTTGCCCTTACTTTGATAGGCACAAGTCGACTAGTTAACCAATAGTCACTTGGCTTTTTCAAAATCTTACCACGCTATATCACCGTCAAAAATTCTTTGAAAAATAGCTTTTGAAATCAGGAAATGATAGACAGGACCTCGCTTTACATTTATTTAGTTCCATTGGACACTTATTTGTGAAATCTGGTTGGAAGCATACCTGGGTTCGAATATCTGATATATCAGATGATATCATGTGTTATTGTACAATCCTTCTACTCATCATTAGGTCTAATAGTCCATTCGAGTCGTTTCACTTTGAATTTTTTGTATGTTCATCTCAAGCTTCGTGTCCAGA